CGTCTACTCCTCCTCCCGTCCTTTCCCCTCACAGGCAAGATTGAGGAGAAAACGACCTGGCCTCCCAGACCCTTGACCACCATTCCCAGAGCTCTGAAGTCCTGTTTGATGGTTTCCAATTTGCCTTTTGTGTCGTTAGCACCCACATGGAAGATCAGCAGAGGGTAGTAGTCCGATGCATGGACAAGCCTTGGCAGTCTTTCCATGACAAATGGTCGTGGTAGAATAAAAAGACGTGGTAGAATAGCTCACATGACTGAAATGCTGCAGTGGATGGATACAAGCTCTTTAGGAAGGACAGGCCAGGAAGGGGAGGAGGGGGATTTGCCGTTTATGCGAGAGAGCAGCTGGAGGGTGGAGCTCTGCCATGGTCGTGGTAGAATAAAAAGACGTGGTAGAATAGCTCACATGACTGAAATGCTGCAGTGGATGGATACAAGCTCTTTAGGAAGGACAGGCCAGGAAGGTGAGGAGGGGGATTTGCCGTTTATGCGAGAGAGCAGCTGGAGTGTGGAGCTCTGCCATGGGGTGGGCAATGGGCTGACTAAGAGCTTATGGGTAAGGATTAAAGGGCAGACTAATATGAGTGACGTTGCGAGTGTTTGCTATAGGCCACTTGATCAGGAAGAAGTAGTAAATGAGGCCTTCTACAGACAGCTAGAAGCAGCCTCACGTTTGCAGGCTCTGGTCCTCATAGGGCCCTTTAGTCACCTCGATATCTGCTGGAGGAACAACACAGCAGGGCATAAGCAATCCAAGAGGTTCCTGAAGAGCATCAGTGACAGCTTCCTAATACAGATGATAGAGGATCCAACAAGGAGAGGTGCTCTGCTGGACTTTGTACTTGCGAACAGGGAAGGACTGGCTAGGGATGTGAAGGTCGGGGGAAACCTTGGCTGCAGTGACCATGAGATGGTGGAGTTCAGAATCCTGAGAGGAGAGAGCAAGGCAAAGAGCAGTATCAGAACCCTGAACTTCAGGAGAACAGACTTTGGCCTCTTAAGACCTGCCTGGAAGAATCCCATGGGATAGGGTGCTAGAAGGAAGAGGGGTCCAAGAAAGCTAGTTGGTATTCAAGGATCACCTTCTTTAAGCTCAAGTCCATCTCAATGAGCAAGAGGTCGAGCAAAGGTGGCTGAAGACCGGCCTGGATGAACAAGGAGCTCCTGGCAAAACTCAAGCATAAAAAGGAAGTATACAGAGGGGGGAAGCAGGGACAGGTAGCCTGGGAGGAATATAGGGGCATTTTTCAAGTATGCAGGGATGGGTCTAGGAAGGCTAAAGCCCATCTGGAGTTTAAGCTGGTGAGGGATGTCAAGGAAAGGGCTGAAGTACTGAATACCGCCTTTGCTTCGCCTGACTGGAAAGGCTGGCCTTCAGAAAAGCGCAGGCCCCAGAGACTGGGGGGAAAGTCTGGAGAAAGGAAGACTTTCCCTTGGTGGAGCAGGATCAGATTAGGAAAAAGTTAAGCAAACTGGACATATGCAAGTCCATGGGCCCTGATGGGATGCACCTGCAAGTGCTGAAGGAGCTGGCTAATGTCATTGTAAGGCCACTCTCTGTCATCTTTGAAAGGTCATGGCAATCAGGAGAGGTGCCTGAGGACTTGGAGAAAGCGAAAGTCACTCCAGTCTTCAAAAACAGCAAGGAGGAGGACCCAGGGAACTAAAGGTCAGGCAGCCTCACCTGGGAAGTTGATGGAGTCACTAATCCTGGATACAGTTTCCAGGCACATGAAGGACAAGAAAGGTGATCAGGAGTAGTCATGGGTTTGTGGTTCACAAAGGGGAAATCTTGCTTAACCCACCTGATAGCCTTCAGTGATGGAATGACTGGCTGGGTAGGTCAGGGGAGAGCAGAGGAGGTTGTCTACCTTGATTTCAGTAAGGTTTTTGACACTGTCTCCCAAAATGTTCTCATAGGGAAGCTGATGAAGTACGTGTGAGATGAGCAGGCAGTGAGGTGGATTGAAAACTGGCTGAACGGCAGAGCTCAGAGGGTTGTGATCAGTGGCGCAAAGTCTAGTTGGAAGCCAGTAACTTGCAGTGCACCCCAGGAGTCAATACTGGGTCCAGTCCTGTTCAACTCAGTCATCAATGACCTGGATGATGGGGCAGAGTGTACTCTCAGGAAGTTTGATGGTGATACAAAACTGGGAAGACTAGCTGATACAGCAAAGGATTGTGATGCCATTGAGGGGGACCTTGACGGGCTGGAAAGATGCACAGAGAGGAACCTCATGAAATTCAACAAAGGCAAGTGCAGAGTTGTGCACCTGTGGAGGAATGACCCTATGCGTCAGTATGTGCTGGGCATCGACCTGCTGGAAAGCAGCTTTGCAGAGAGGGACCTGGGGGTCCTGGTGGACAGCAAGTTAGACATAAGCCAGCAATGGGCCCTTGGGGCCGAGAAGGCCAGCAGTATCCTGGGTTGCATTAGGCAGAGCGTTGCCAGGAGGTTGAAGGAGGTGATCCTTCCCCTCTGTTGAGCCTGCTGAGGCCACACCTGGAGTGCTGTGTTCAGGTCTGGACTCTCCAGTATAAGAGAGATACGGAGCTACTGTAGCAAGCCCAGTAAAGGACTACTGAGATGATTAAGGGCCTAGAACATCCCTCATATGAGGAAAGGCTGAGAGAGCTGGGACTCTTTAGCCTTGAAAAGAGTAAAGCTCAGGGGGAATCTTATCAGTGTGTATAAATATCTGAAGGGAGGGTGTAAAGAAGATGGAGCCAGACCCTTTTCAGGGGTGCCCAGTGATAGGACGAGAGGCAACAGGCACAGACTGAAACACAGGAACGTCCATCTGAATAAAAGAAAAAACTTCTTTTCTGTGAGGGTGACTGAGCGCTGGCACAGGTTGCCCAGAGAGGTTGTCTCTCCGTCCTTGGAGCTATGCAAAAGCTGCCTGGACAGGCTCCTGAGCAACCTGTTAGAAGTGACCCTAGCTTGAGCTAGTTGGACTAGATGGTCTCTAAAGGTCCCTTCCAATTTAAACCATTTTGTGAGGTGAGCAAAGCAAGCCTACTGATGGTAATCAAGTTCTTCCAAGAGTCCAGATTACCAGCAAGTCTGTGGTGATGAGGCAGGTCTAAGGTCTAACCTAGGAATTCAAGTCTGCAGATCAGGGTCAAGGTTTGGATCACTGGGGTACATGGCTAGGCATGGGCATGGCTCCAGTGTTGCTGCAACATAGCTCACGCAGGGCCAAGCTTCAGAGCCTTAGCTTAAAACAACCCCAAGTGAAGAAGGGGAGAGTCTCCCCTGAAGCTTTTCCCAGCTCTTTCTTTGTATAAGCTCTTACCAGTGAGCTGGATTTGAATGCAGCTGTCTAAACTCCTAGAAGCAGGGAGGGAAATGTGCTCAAGACTGTGACACCTGGGTGCTATGAAGACATGCCCTACTCTTCCGGGTAGGGTGCAGCTCCACTGGGACATTTCTGCCTCACGCTTGCAGTGCTGTTGCTTCTTTCCTGCCTCAGGACTCCCAGCATTGGATCTGCAATCTGTCAACAAGCTGTGCCTTGTTTCGAGAGTCCCAGAGAGATTCAGTGCAGTCAAGAGAATGTGTGTGTGTGCGTGCCCATTCCATAATACGAGTCTTGTACATCAAGCTTTTTGTCAACTGAAATATGTGAGAAGACTAGAAGACTGTGCATATAAGGAGTTCCCAAACTGGGGTCCTTGGGGACCACTCTCATGGAAAAAGAACTGCATTTTTCAGAGAATTCTCTTTGACGCAAAGGAGTGGAATTACTGTGGTGATATGGCTGGTTTGTTTGAGAGTCAAGAGAGAGTCCAGCTTTTCAGGGTATGCTCACTACTCCATCAGATCATTCCCAGTTTTTCAGAGAAGAGACAATGAGATAGGCTCTTGGATTTCTTGTTTATTTGGGGCAAGGGGTGCTAAGCACTCTGTAGCTTCTGCTCCATTAGGAGTACATTTACTGCAGCTGAAGATTCTTCATATTTATTCTAAACAGTTAAGATCTACTTTTTTCCTTTAAGAATATTTCATGTTATTGTTTCAGCTTCTAGAAGCACTTGGAGCTTCCTTTCAACTGAATGTCAGTCATGGACTAGTCAGTGTGGTATTAACACAGTTGGAACATGTTCAGGGGAAACCCTGTGATCAGCATACTGCAATATAGTCTGTAAGGCCCGTCATGACCTAGTACTTGTCTCTCTTGTGGTCTTTTTCGTGAATGCAGTAGAAGAAACACAGCACATTCTCAAGGTCCTGCGCTCCCATGAGACCCCCTTGGTGAAGAAGCGACAAGCGATGAACCATGTATTTCGGGATTATCGACTCAAAATGGCTGAGGAGCAAAAGAGCATGGAGAAAGCAGGTGAGCTTGAACTGTCCCTTCAGGGGATAGTGATATGTGGCTCCTTTCTGAAGGCCTTGCAGCTTTTTACCTTGCAGCTTTTGACTGGATTGCCTCCCTGCAGCTGTGCCTTATAGAGGGAGTTGCAGTAGCAGTGGCATCCCCATAGTAGGAAATTAGCATATTAATAGAAACATTCGTTATCTCTCCTAGCACTGAAACCTGATGAAGCAGAAGTGCAGCCAGGCAGTGGGCTAGCTTCAGGTAGTGTGATGTACAGAAAACGGTCTGACCAAATCTCTGAGGCAAAACCAAAGTGGTTCATGTTGTCCGACAACAGCTTCCGATTTGACTTCACACCTTCTGAGATGGAGCCAGCAGCAACTGGTACAACTTTGGGAGCAGCTCCTAGTGCCGGTGGTGTTGAGCAGAAACAAACTAATGTAAGAGCCCCAGAGCAAGAGAATTTGAGTGAAGCCTTGAGTTTTGCTACCTCTGGACAAGAACCCAAGTTTGCTTTCAATTTTACCATCCCAGGTGAAGATCATCCTCTGGTCCCATTAGTTCTAGCAAACCAACACTCAGAGAGTACAGCAGACCATGAAGTGCTGGATAATTCACTGCCTACTGAATCACCAGGTATGCTAGAGAGTTCAGCCTTGCAGAAGCCTGATCTGACTCAAACTGCAGATAGTGTGCCTGGAGAAGACATAGGCCATTTCATGTTAAAGATCCCCATATCAGAGAGTGCTCCTGGAGATGAGACAGTGACAGAGAAAGCGGCAGCAGATGGAGCAGCCCAGAAGAAGAAGAAGAAGAAGAAACAAAAAGCATCTAGCAGTAAAAAGGAGATAGAAGAAACTGAGATCTGCAGGAAGGCAAAGGCAGAAGCCAGTGGATGTCAGAATAAAAACGTATCCCACCAGGATGAGACCTCGCAGGTATTTGAATACTGGTAGGATCCCATAAATTATAAACCCTTCAGTAGAAGAGAAACTTGATGTCTATGCATAGTTTAACAGTTAGTACACTGGCACAGAATGCAAGCTGAAAAACAATGGTTGCTGCTGTTTCCGTTCTTACAGCAGCTGTTTGCTTTCCTCTGCTAGTCAGTTGAAGAACCAAACCAGTAGAAAGGAAGTTAATGCTTGTTTGTTGTATGCTTGAAACTTGTGCTGAACCATTATGAGTTTTTGGCGTTGAGACCTGTGATAGCTAACCTTTGGGAAGCCAGATGCCACATTTACCTTAAAAAAATTTTTTTTTCTAAGGCAAGTAACTGTCCTCAGGGCCAAGCTGGGTATCTGTGGGTGCTGGATCAGGCACTGTACCCATGACTCGCTATCAGGTAGGATAAATTACTCACATTATGCAAATAGCAAAGTTGAGGTAGACCTCCCTCCACATATGATCTGAGACACCAAGATTCTGCCTCTGGTTTTGTCCATTGCTTGCTCTATGATTGTGGGCAGGTTGTTGGTTTTTTATTATTATTTTTATTATTAATGCTTATTCCTCCCATCTGTAAGTTGACTTGACAGCTTCTTTAATATCCTGAAGCGCTGAACAGCTTTCCAGAGAACTGCATCATCTGAATGGCAGCCAGATATTAAGCACGTCAAATAGAGACAGTGAGTCAGAACTGAATACTTGTTCAGTACTTTAAATTTATCCAATGAAAAACACTATAGGCAAGATCTCATGAAGTCTATAAAGTGACCAGGAGAACCTGAAATTCTGAGTAGTCCTGATTTTCTGTGAATTTTTGTGTGGCAACTGCTGTCGTGTTAGGATGATTTATTTCCTTGTGCTCACTCTGTTCCATGTTGCATAGCAGTCAGATGGCCAGCTGTGGAAAGAAGTGGACTGGTGCGTGGAACAGCTGGAACTTGGCCTGAAGACGCAAAAGTCCACTCCTAAACAAGGTAACATTGAGAGAGCAGGAAAAGGTTGTGAGAGAGCGAGGGGAAAGGGTTGGCAGACAG